CACCTAACTTTTGTGCTGGTGCGCCTAAGATAAAATGTTAGGTGCACCGGTGCAACCAGTGCAAAAAGTTAGTCTAGAGCCCTGTAAAAGCCTGGTGCATGTAAACACTCGTCATGATCAGATTGTGCTCATGTAAACAATGGTATGGTATTGTTAGTGGGGATGGATATAGAATCCATATGAGCGGTAGCCTCCTAAGTGGGCCCATTGCTCTCCCCAAAAAGACARTGGTCTTTATTCAAACCTTCTCGTCCCTCGGATGAAGGACACAGGGTTAGAAACACTCAGTGTTCTGAGCTTCTCAGGATCCATCAAGGAGTCCCCAAGAATTCTTTTCCGTTGACCACTCAGAGCCAGGCAGTGGTCTAAGTAGTGCAAAGAGGTCTCGAATTCAATGCCACAGGCATCACACAGGCCATTGTCATGGAGTCCCATCACCATTTTGTGGCGATTGAGCAGACTGTGCCCAGTTAGGACTCCAACCAGTGTACTTGGAGTTTTCCTTGTCAGGATAATGAGAGCTTTCCCAAATCTTAGATTTGGGCCGTTAATCAGTTCCCGTGCCTGTCTACAGTCCGTCAGCGCCCTCCAGTGAGTGTTGACATCTAATCCAGACCTGTAGGGCAGTCCTACAGACTGTTGTTGAGAAACCTACAACAGGCTCTGGTCCTTTGAAGTGAGTCTGACTGCCAGCTTTTGCAAGGTAGTCAGCTCTCTTGGCTGACTACCAGGCATACTGGCTTTTATGGTACATAAATGTCAGTATGCCCTGGTACCCATTTAACAGTAACACTGTTATTGCTCCCCAGTTGGTTGACTGCTTCGGCACACTCCCAAGCCAATAATGATGTAAAGTGTGACCCTCGAAGAGCTTTAATAGCAGCTTGGCTATCTGTTAGGACGAATATTTCCTTCTGTGTACACTGAAGGTCTTTGAGAGATGCCACACACTGGTGGATTGCATATATCTCAGCTTGAGATACAGTTGCAAAACAACCTTGTGGGTATTTGTGCTCTCTGTCACTATGGTTGTGCAAAATCAGCACCCCTGCACCTACTGACCCCTTCAGAAGGGATCCATCTGTAAAACAGTAAAAATGATTGGGATACATGTCCGTTGTAGAGAGATTAATCCAGGCAGACCTGTCTTCAATCTCTGTCTTAAAACTTGGCTCAAAATTGTATTTTTTGACCCTTCTGTCTCCAGGTCCTGCAATTACTGGAACAGCAGCACCTGCCCAATCCCAGATTCTAGTGTGCTGTGAGTCAGATAGGTTTTTCCACCTACCAGACTGGCGTAGCCTTACTGCACTGGATGCAGCCTCCCCTAAGATATATAAATCTTGTGGAGCCAGGTCCAGTAGGACTTCCATGGCTGCCCTGGGTGTTGTTCTAATGGAACCTGTGARGCTCAMGCAGGCRATTCGTTYCACATGGGTGAGCATCACTCTTGCCACCCCAACATGGACTCGAACCCACCACACTAAAGCAGCATAGCATAGCATGAGGCAGACTATGGCCGTGTAGATCCATCTGACAACCTTTGGGGTAGCACCCCAGCGACTACCTGCAATTTTACGGCACTGGTGTAGYCACATTGCTGCCTTCTTACACTTTTGATTTACATGTCTTTTCCAGTTAAGCTTCCTGTCTWGATAGACACCCAAGAATTTAACTTACTCTGATAGGYAGAGTTCTACACCCTCCATCTTTGGAGGTGAMTAACCCTTCCTTGACTTCTTATCAGTGAAAAGAACCAATTCTGTCTTGTTTGGATTGACAGAAATGTCCTGCTCCCAGCACCATCTGGATACATTTAGTCCCCTCTGGATTAGGTTACATACAGTACCCAGGCAGAAGCCCTCTATAAATATGACCAAGTCATCTGCATACCCTTGTGTATGGAGTATAGATCCATTCAACTCATTTAGTAAGCTGTCGACAACCAGGAGCCAGCACAGGGGAGAGATTACTCCTCCCTGTGGACAGCCCCATCTGAGGTTTACGGTTATCAAACAGTCCCCCAGAGTTGAAGATGCTTTCCTTGTCTGAAGCATGAAAATGAACCAATTTGTTGTTGTCTCATCCACAACTTTGCTGGCAAGTGCTCTTTCTATAACATCTACAGGTACATTGTCAAATGCCCCCTGAATGTCCAAAAAGCAGCCAAGCGCATATTGTCCTCGTGCCAAGCTGTATTCTGTTCTCAAAAAACATCATGTAAGGCTGTTTCTGTAGAAAGACCTGCCTGATATGCATGTTGTTTAGAACTTAAAAGTGATACCATTAAAATACCATCCCTAACATGTCGATCTATTAACCTCTCCATTCCCTTCAGCAAGAAAGAAGTTAAGCTGATGGGCCTGAAAG